CCACAATGTTCTACAGCCTACTTTGGTGATAAGTGACTAGGATCTTAAAAGTTAATGAGCAGCCATCTAAGGTGTCTCTCCTTGTGTGGACGAAAGAGCAATGAAAATTGAAGACGATTGGAGACTAATGGACCAATTAAGGGAACGCGTGAACATCAGTCCCCATGACCCCGAGACCAGAACTAGACAGTGCCTGGTTACCACTACCAACTGCTCTGAAAGCGATCCCATTAGAAGGTCCTGGATAGAGAGGGAGAAAAGGTGGAACAAAACTCAAAACCATAAAAATGACTAGGTTTACTGGTCAAACAGGGACTGGTGGAACCCGGAGATCATGGTTCATGGTCCTTGGTCATCTTTCAGGTCTGGAACTGAACTCATCTTCATGGCTCAATAGTTAGGCCTTTAAGGGAGAACACCACTAGTAAGGTACGAGCACCATAGTATGGTTGAACATTTGAGATCAAAAGGGAAGCCTTCTTTACCTAAGGACAAACTTCAGAAAGGTTGAGAAAGGAGGAGGAATGGAAACACGAATTACAGGGGAAGTGGTATACTGATGTTTGTCCTGTGGAGGAGACTACAGTCATTGTAATGAAATGAAGTATCTGATCTGCTGGATGTGAAATTGATGGTGGACTCTGTGAGCCTTCACTCAATTCACAATTATGGCCATGGGACCGATTGCCAAATTCTTCAGAAGGGCCAGGAGGGCATCCTTGGGCTGTAGGGGTTGGTTTGCAAAGACATTCTGTCTCAAGACTCCTTAAGACTCATCAACTCCCTGAATTTCTAGTCTGCTGACCTGTCCTATAAATGTCACACTTTTCAGTCGCCACAATCTTGTGAGCCAATTTCTTAAGATAAATAATATGTGTATATACGAATGTATACACACACACACATTCTCTTGATTGTGTTTCTCTGAAGGATTCTGGTTGATAGAAATTCTAAGAAGCTGCTATCTGAGGGAGATACAGGACATCCTGTCTAGAAACCCACCTGTGTCCTGCGAGCGACCTATTCAGCCACGAGAGGGCAGCAGAGAGACAGCCCAAACCCAGACCAGTCCTAGGTAGCCGTCTGGCCATACGCCTGTCTTATTCTGCGCACAGTGTTTAAAATAATAAGCCAGTATTTTAAAAATCTGGTCTTCAGGCTCTTTTTATCAATGTATATGAGGAGCAGCTGCCCTTTGAGGACTGGTCTCCAAGGTCATCTTAGTCCTCATAAATTTTCCCCCCACATATGCTATTTTCTGAGTGGGTACAGTTCTTACTTGTCCTGTGCCTCACCTCCTTCCCCTACAGGGACAGGGACAGGGACAGGGACAGGGACAGTGGCACAGGTATTAAAGCGAAAGGGTTCTGCCACACACCTGTGTGTAATTGTTAAGTTATACTAGCATTCCCCGCCTTCATAGCCTCTTTTCAATCTCCTGATCCCACAAGGGACCTAATACGCCCAGATATGACACAAAACATACCTCTTAGCTCATTTTGAAAAGTATTTTCCAGTCCATGGGGCTCAGAGCAGCAAATCTGGGTCTGCCATTACTTTGGGAACTGCTGTGGACAAATTACAGGTTTCTCTCGTTTTCGAAAGCAGTGTTCCTTCAAAACCTTTCTAAAGTTGAAAGAAGCAGTTACCTATGCATTTATATGGGGGGAAAATTCAGTTTCCCAGATAAAAAAAATAATCCTCCAAATCATACCCAAACCATTATTGCGCATGGCAGATACTGCATTTTTTATAAATGGAAAGTTTAGGGCAACCCTGTGTTGAGCAAGTCTTTTGGCACCATGTTCTCTATGACATGGGTTCACTTTATGTCTCTGTCCATTTCGATAATTCTTACAGTATAGCGAACTTTTACATAATGCCATTGCAACTTACGAAATAATATGTAAACACAATTTTTATAGGCACTGGGAAACAAAAAACCTCGTGATTTGTTATATTGCAACACTTGCTTTATTGCAGGGGTCTGGAGGGGAACCTGCAATTTCTCTGAGGTATGTATGGCTATAACACATAAAACCTAAAATCACACTAGCATATAGTGTTCACAGTTCAAACCTCTGGCAGCTTGATTCCCAGTGTGGCTCCTGGAGATGCCACTTGCTGCAGGAGTGGGGTGGGGGTTGTGGATGTAGTTGCAAGATGCCTCTAGCAGTTTGATGCAAAACGAATGCTGACGCTAGTTTTGTTTTTTTATATAAAAGTGCAAGTTCCCTTTCTTTCAGGTAAGTGAAATAGGTACAAACACAGGTCGTTTATAAAAGCAAAGTGGCGTAAACAAAACTCTTAAACAGGGGTCTCTGCTGGCCACAGAACTGACACGAACTCCTAGGACCAAGAAACTAACCCCCATCTAGCTTCAAGGTTGACCCTCTGGCCCCTGTGGTGGAAGTCTGGCTGTCTGCCCCACCAGGGACTTAAAAAAAAATAGTAAGAACACTTTTTTGGTGGTTGGGGTTGGGGGAGAGTTTCCTTCCCTCCTCTTAGCCTCTGTGGTGTGGGAAGGGCTGATCCTACCTCTATAACGCTGGAGGGACATTTCATCCCTGGTCCATCAGAACACTTTATCTCCCTGAGTAAGGTGATTGGTTTACAGCAAGGCACATGATCTAGTCTAGGCCAATGAGAGCCCTACCCTGGGATTTTTGCTGAAACTACCAGCTTCTAACATCAAAGTCAAGCAGTTCGAAACTACCAGCAATTTCACAGGAGAAAGATGAGGCTCTCTGCTCCTGTAAAGACTTATAGCTTTGGAAACCTTATACAGGGTTGCTATGAGTCGGAACCAACTCCACAGCACACCACTACCACCACCACCACCACAAGTTTTCTTACTAAGATTGCCAAACTGGTCCAATTATAAAATTTCATGGCAGAGAAAAGCAACTAGGCAGAGACCAAGTTCTGATGAATCATTGAAGCCCCTGGGATCAGTCAAACCTTAGGTTAAAACTACCTCTGGACTTTTCAGTTGTATGTACCACAAAATTGTTAGCTATTAATTTTTAAATGATAGTTTTCTGTCACTCTGAGTTTTTGAGTTCTAATACCTCTTTCTTCCCATAGTCTCCTCAAGCAGTTACAAGGGAAATTTCTCAGATCTAGGAAGTTCCTATGTGGTACAAATGCGTAAGGCACTCAGCCGCTAACTGAAAGGTTAGAGGCTCAAGTCTACCCAGAGGAACCTTGGAAGAAAGGCCTAGATAGCTACTATTAAAAAATCACTAAAAACAAAAACAAAAGCACACACACACACACACTCACACAAACGGAATGGAAGCAAATGCTGCTGAGTGATGATGCGTGAAGGGGATTGTAACCATTGCAATAAAATGAAATATGATAGGATGAATGTAAAGCTGATGTTCTCCCATGTAAACTATCACTCAATTCACAATAAAAACTTAAGAAAATGAAGGTTATGGGCCATGTTAAAGATGAAAAATAAAAGCTGTGTCTCTAACTTCCCCTAGATAGTCTATTATGTTTTTCCTGTTCACATGAGCATTTATTTTCTAACTAGTTTGCGGAGACTACTTAGCCCAGATTAAAAGTAGTATGCTCACTCCAAATCCCAGTACCTTTTCATTATTTGTTCAATGAATAAATACTTAAAATGTCCAGTGGTTCCCTTGCTTCAGCCTACAACGTTCTGGATAAAAGTCCTTATATCCAACCTCACACCCACTTTCCCCTCACTAACCGTCACATTGGCTGCCTCGATGGCACAAACGCCAAGCCTGTTTCTGCCTCAGGGCCTTTGCACTTTCTGCTTTGTTGGGAGGTCTTTTCCTTAACCTGCCTCCATTTCTTCCTCCTCTGATCTCAACTTTAACATTCCCTTTTGTTTAATGTTTCTCTTCCCAGAGGTCAACTCTACCATGCAGGTTCTTGTTGGTTTGTTCACATCTGCACCCCAGTGGCCAGGTCTGAAGCTGGCACAATAAACAACAGCTGTAGGGGCCAGCTTCATTAACCTCGTCTTCATGGTCTGCATGAAAACCCCTCCTCACCAAACTGGGGCACCTTTCAAAGTGTTAGGAGTAGATAACATTAATCCACAGCTTCAGGTGGCTGAAGCCCATCCTGAGCCTAGGGTTGAGAGATCTTTTGCCCCCTCTTTCTGTCCCTCCCTGTAACCCCAGCCCATCAGGAAACAACACAAGGCAGCCAAGGTTAAGTAGACTCTTGCTGCTTTGTTATAAATATATTATGTACATCCAAATCATGACATTAAAATATTACTCCATGTTACAGAAAAGATATTAAGGCCTTCTATTATTTACATTAAACAAGCAAGCACCTTTAAAAAAAAAAAAACAAAAAAAACAAAATAAAACCCAAACCAAACCAAAACTAAACAGCTCCACTCTTCCCTCCCTGACACACCCTTGACCACAGGGGACAGTGTGTCCCATTCCAAACAACCAAGACCCTTGGCAGGGGCTGTGCCCTGTGAAGACATGTAGACATGTTCAGACTGGAAATATCAGCTCTGGATGGAACCATGTGGGCAGGTGGGCTGGGGTACACTTGGTCAGGGGACTCTGGCTTCTCCTGACCACCCGCCTGGGCTCTGTGGACAGAGACGTGCTGGAGGTGCCCAGAAGCACTGGGGACAGAAGGGCGACACCATGGGCCGGATGTCTGCACCCAGAAGGACTGTTCAGCAGGTCAGGGGTAGCTGGAATGCAGGGGTAGGATGTGGGACGGGGCTCCTTTTTCTGCAGGTCAGAGGCTTGGCAGACAGAGCTCAGGTGGTTGGGGAGGAGGGGCAAAGGAAAGAAAACGGAAAAAGGAACCATCAGTGGTTCAAGTATCATGTGTCAGGAGGGGCAGACTGGGGGGCCCGGGCCCAGCCCAGGGGACGTCCTCTCCATTAGAGGGGCCAGCAGCAACAAGGCTGGAGTTTGGCAGATGGCTTCGGTTTGGGGGAGGGGGCTAGGGAAGGTTGGCAACGAGGTGGCAGGCTTGGAGAGCTATTTGATCTTCTGGGCCCACTTCATGTCGTCTGCCCGAGGCTTCTCGCCCGTCAGGCCCTGGATGATGTCCTCTAGGCGTCTCCAGAAGCCAATCTTCTCCAGCGGGTAGTTGAGCCAGCCTGTGGGGGAAACAGGCATGGGAAGCTGAGACAGAGGGGGCTGGACCCAACAGACACATCCACTTACTTACTGAGCTCAGGCAGTTGGTTCTGTACTAGGCAAGCCAACGGTCACTCCACAGGGACGCCTTCCCTGACCACTTGGCTTAAGGCAGCACTCGATGGCCCACATCACCCTCTCCTTTCCTGATCACATTTTCCCTAAGCTGGGATGATGTTCATGAATTCCTGATTTGTTTTGTGCCTGTCTCCGCCTCAACGCCTACCAAGAGACAAGAACCCTGTGTCTTTTCACTGCCTTAGCTAGTCCCAGTGCCCACAACACTGACTGGCACTGTGGCTGCCAGATACCGTCAAGTCCACCCTGACTCCCAGCAGTCCTGGAGGGCAGAGGAGACCCACCCACGGGCTATCCTAAGCTGCTGTATTGATGGGAGTGGACTCTCAGGTCTTACTACCCTTGGAGTGGATGGTGGGTCTGAACTGCTGATGTCAGCAGTTGATCACTTAAGCAATGCTCCACTAGGGTGATAACCTAAATGAACCTACTGCCATGGGGTCCAGTCCGACTCATACTGACCCTCTGTAGGGTTTCTGAGACTGTAAATCTTTACGGGAGCAGACACTTCTCTTTCTCCTAGAAAAAGTATGTGCTACCGTGTGGCGCTGTGGGTTAATGCATCAGAACGCAAAGCCATTTGAACTGCAAGGCTGGTGGTTCAAGCTCACCAGCTGCTCCTTGGAAACCCTATACAGGGTTGCTATGGGTCGGAATCGACTTGATGGCACTTAACAACAACAACAACACAATCTACTTATTTAATTCAGATCCCAGCTCCCTACTTTCATCATGACGTACACACTACTTCTCATTTCCCACCGAAGATGGAGATTCTTGATTAGTAGGTGGTCACTGCACCTGTGAGCCCAGGCCTGCCTGAGTGGCTAACCGATCTTCCTAGAAGATCACTGGCTTGCCTAACATGGCTTTGGTGCTGGTGGTGTGCCGTCAGCTTGGTTCCAACTCATGGCGATCCTGTATAGGATTTCCAACTGGTAAATCTTTACGGGAGCAGAAAGCCTCATCCTTCTCATCTTTTCCTGCTGGTAGATTTGAACTGTTAACCTTGCGGTTATCAGCGCAACTCGTAGCCCACTACACTACCAGGGTTCCTTGTGCAAAAATAGTTTCTGTGCTTTGCAGTTCTGCCTTCAGGAAGATTCTTAATAAATAAATAAAAGGCAGCAGCTATAGTTTGCTGACTGTCTTCCAGCATTTTCCATCTGCCATCTTGCCATTCCCATTGGGGACTACAGAGGTGGTACCCGGAGGAGGTGGCGGCAGCCCCATTTTGTGGATGAGAAGACCGACACCAAAGGGGTTCGTGAGGCACACACGGAGGTGCTGACTGCTATTCAAACACAGCTGGCCCGACTCAACAAAACCTCTACTACTGGTCCTGGTCCTTTGGTCACCTCACAGATGGTCTCTAGCACTGACCCGTGCACGTGACCCTCTTTACCGTTCCTGGATCGTAGCAGCCCTGGGGACTTTGTTCTAGTTGCTCCTTTTACTAGAGACGTGTCTCTAGTTCTCTGTCGTGCCCTCCCATCCCTCTTTCAGACTTCTCATTTTATGAAAGGCCCTCCCGGAACTCCTCATTTAACCTTCTCTCCTTCCCACTGCTCTCTGTTTTCCTTCACAGCCATTTCCCCTGGAAGTGCTGTGGTTGGGTGTTGGACTGCTACCCACCAGTTCAGTGGTTCAAACCCACTAATCATCTGAGGGAAAAAGATGAGGCTTCCTGCCCTATAAACATTTACAGTTCTGGAAACCCTGTGGAGCACCTCTACTCTGGAGGCTTTGGAGATGACGCGAGGACAGTGGTTTGGTGTGCACTTTCTCATCTCTCCGGTCATTTCCCCCGTCCCCACCAGTCACACTGGCCTCCTTTTTGTTCCCGAAGGAGACAGGCATGCTCCAGGCTCAGGGTCTCTGAAGTCTGGATTGTTTTTCCCCCAGTGAGCAGCACAGCCTCCTGCCTGTCCTCCTTCAGATCTTCCTTAACTGTCCTGTCTCACAGAGGCCTTCCCTGACCATCCGATTTAGAAAGGCAAGCCCTCCTCCGCTGCTCCACAGCAGTTAGCGTATCAGATGGACTCTCGGTCAATCGACTGTCCATCTCTCCCACCAGAATGCCAACTTCAGGGGGCATGAACTTTACCTGCTTTGTTCACAGCTGTACTCTAAGCCTAAGGCAGTGACTGGCACATAGTAGGTGCTCCGTAAATATTTGCTGGGTGGTAGGGAGACAGGGTAGGGGTAGGGGCCGCCTGTGTTATGTAGTTACACACTTAGCAACTAACAGTGGCGGGCGCAGAGTAGGTGTTCGAGAAACTGTTCTGAGACGTCCTCCCAGAAGGACGAGTTCTGGCCCTGGGGATGGAGCAGAGACGGGCAGGGGTGGTGATGCAGAAGTAGTAGGTCTCACCTGTGGTGATGCAGAAGTAGGTCTCATGAGGTGAGACGTGGTGGATGCGGTGGTGTTTCCGAGGCAGGATGATGTGCCAGTCCTGCAGGAGTGTGACCCAAGGTGGCAGCCCGAAGTACGTGTGCGACCACTTGTGGATCTGGTTAGTGAAGGTGCCGAAGATGATGAGGAAGAAGATAAAGGACTCCCAGGGGTAGCACTGCTCCAGAGCCTCTGCAGTGGGGGAAGAAGATGCCCGCACGGCAGGCAGGCAGGGCATATCACTCAGGGTCGGGGTCCAATGCCATCCTGGCCCTCGAACACACACACCAGCCACACCAGCCCCGGGCCACTTCCTATCTCAGAACAGCAGCCCAACCTCCTACATGGCCACAGTCTCTGCCGCCGCCTTACACAGCTAGAGCTGGGTTCAGACTCTACTATGATAGTGTCTGGCTCTGTGGGCTTCAGTCAGTGACTTTGCTCTCTGAGTCACAATTTATTCCTTAGTAAAGTAGGATAATAAATCCGAGTTCCCTGGACGCAGAGTCTGAGGTAGGCATTCATGAGCACGTGACCTATCAAAGGGGTCTCGTCTGGAACAACACTGATAGGAGCGAAGGAAGGAGGAGGGGACAGGGAAAAGCCTGATCTTTGGACAGCTCAGGAGTGGGGAGACTTCCAGATGGAGACTTTCTTTCAGTCTGGCTTTTTCAGTCTCTGGAAACTCTCAGCTGGAGCTGAGGGTGAAGAGAAACTGGGCCTCTGAAATTCATGCACCTACCCAACAGGAGGCTACTGTAACCAATGAGCTGTTGAGTTGTTAGAACAGTTATCCGGCATGAGGCAGGACTCATTCTTCCCATTTTACAGATGATGGAACTGAGGCTCAGGGAGGCCAAGATTCAAACTCAGGACTCTCTGAGTCTACCCACTATACTCCTTCCACTAAGTCTAAAGGCCTGCAGGCCAGGCAGGCAGTGTAACTGTGTGAGGTGGACAGCAGCAAGGCCTGGGCTACACTGTTTAATGGGGATGGTTGTGCCTCTGCTCTGGCTCAGAGCGACTACCTCAGATAGTTCAGAAAAGGCTGGGAACCCAGACTTGAAAATGAAATGTCCCAGTTTTATAAAAAAAAGACTGAGAATTTTCAAAAACTCCATGAAGGGCCAAGCCTAGTGCCTGGCCCTGAGAGCCCCTCCCGGGCCATTAGCTGGCACGCCTTACCAGGGCTTTGGGTGTGGAACTTGTAGGCCATGTTCAGCAGTGGCAGCAGTGTCACCAGGCAATTGTCCCCATTGGTCTCGATGAAGTCGTGCCGTGTGATGGCTGTTGGGTCAATGTGGTGCTCCCGGAACGGGCGGATGAAAGCCTGGGGAGTGGGGGTGGGGGGCAAGGGTACGGTCAGTCCCTCTCCATGACTTCCTGAGCATACTAGGACTGGCTTCACCTCCCTGTCCCCAGGAGACTCCCGGATTCCTGCCCTGCCTTCAGGGACTAGGCTCTGCAGTTAGAGCACAAGATGGGATAAAATGACCCAGGCAGAGACCATGTGCTGTCAAGGGTCCTTCTCTGGGCCCCAGTCTCTCCATCTTTGCTGTGAGGAGGCTTGGAGATCATCCCACTCTGCCTCCCTAGCACCCAAGCCCCACCTTCTGGGAACAGTCCTCCCCCTTCTCTTAGTTCAAGTGGTTCTGATAGGAATGACCTCACCACCTGGCTAAGAGATGAACATGTGACCCAGGCCGGGCCAATCAGAGTATTCATAGCAACTGGCTGAGGGATGGGCATGTGATCCAAGCTGGGCCACTGGGAATGGACCCTGGGACTTTGGATATTAACTATGGGAACAGAGGAGTTCTGATGTGGCGCTGTAGGATAAGCACTGGACTGCTAACCACAAGGTCGGTGGTCCAAACCCACCAGCTGATCCTCATACGGTGGCTGTAAGCCAGAACTGACTAGATGGCACTTAACAATAGCAACATGGGAATGGAGGGTTGTTTGGAAGGTGCACCTGACTACAAGCCAAAAAAGTTGGCAGTTTGAACCCATCTTGGGACATGTCAGTGGTCAGGCTGGGTGATCTGCCTTTAAAAGGTCATAGCCTTGAAAACCCCACAAAGTAGTTACGAGTTGGAATATCCTCAATAACAACTAAAATCAACAACAGACGGGAGCAGCTCTTCTCCACTGGGGGCACTGAGCAGGGAAGATGGAAGCTGAGGACAGCTGGGAGCCATCTTGGCCACCTCGTGAGGAGAAAGCCAACAGCAAGGAGAGCAGAGACAGATATGGAGAAACAATGAGTCTGCCCCACTAGACCCTGTCAGGCTGAACTTGGCTCTACCCCTGAAGTTTTCTGTTACTTGAACCAATACCCTTGTTTGACTAAGCCAGATTGGACTGGATTTTCTGTCATAACAAATAAATCGGATTGGTACAAAATAAAATTCAACAAAACCAAACACCAGTGAGGTGCAACAGGGAGGCACAGAGAACACAGCCGCCAAATTCAAGGTGTTCAGGCGAGACAGGAACCTATTAAGTCTTTCTGACCTTCAAACGCCTGATGCAATTCCTTCTAGAGGGTTCCAGGGGATTCCCGGTCTAGTCTCAGGGATGGGGGTGGAGGTAGGGGTACGCTGGAATGATTGTTCCCATCTTCCAGACGGGAAAACAGAGGTTCAGAGTGAACGGGAAGTAACTCCTTGTTCTGGAAAAGGCAGGCAAGGTGGAGTTGGCATACGTACCTTCCCCACAATGGGAAGTTCTACGGAGCCCCAAGTGTCGGCACCCCAGTGCACCAGGCCAGACAGGAAGTCGGCAATGAGAGCCCCTGCAACTGTGGAAGAGAAGAGGGTGAGCTGGGCATCGGGGGCACACCTAGGACACCCTGCCCACTCACAACACTCCTGGCCTCCAATAGCCCTTGGCTTGTTGTATCCCAGGAGTTACAGGGAGCCATCTGCTTCATGAGTCTGGAGGGAACACACTGGGCATGCTCAGCACCCCTTCTCTGCTCCCTCATAGCTCCCTGTGGGGAAGCCCATTCAGCTCCTGGTGGGGATGGGGATGGGAGTGTCTGGTTTCTTCTGAAGTTTGGTGCCAACAAGCACCTTACCCACAGACAGAAGGTACACTTCCAACCTGGGTGGTTCTCACCGCCAACATAGGAGTGTAGCCTTCTTGTTTGAAGTGGGGTACTCATTACTGTGTCTTCTCTGAGATACCAACACCATTCATTCACTTGGAGATTCAGTGTAACTAACAGAAGTTAAGAGCTGCTAAATCTGGGCTCAAACTCCAGCCCTTTCACTCGTTAGCTGTGTGACAACTGGATGAGTTACTCAGTCTCTCTGTGTCCCACTTTCAGCTTATAAAATGGGAATGTTGATGATTAGCAATTGGAGCTATCATTTGAGCCCTTTCTCAGTGCCAGGCACAAGTGTTTTATGTGCTTGATTCCACTGAATACCCACCCACCAACTGTTGGGAAGCTGGTACTACTTTATTTCCTTTTTACAGAGGTCGAAACTGAGGCTTAGAGAGCAGAAATAACTGGACTGAGGTCACACAGCAGGGAAGTGGCAGAGCTAGATTCTTCACTTCCTTAACCAAATTGAACACACCAACACCATAGTATACATGGGGAAACTGAGGCCCAGTGGGCAGTCACCTAGAATCACCTTCCTTCACTCTCCCTCTACTCACTGCATTCTAGCCCTATTGGTTTGTTTCCTCCCCTCGCACACCCTTCACGTGAGCCCCTGCCACTCTTGAGATTTTGTATTTGCTGTCCCCTGCCTGGGACATTCTTTCCCAAGACGTAAGGGCAGGCAGCTCACTCCCTCACTTCCTGCGTTGCTCAAACGTCCTTCAGGGAAGCCGGCTCCAAGTGAGCACCCTCCCCTTGGTCTCCCAGCACTTTCTAGCTCCCTCATGCTTTATTTTTTTCCAAGGACCTATCACCTTTGATTTCAGCTTCCCAAGGGCAAGGTGTCTGGTAGTCTTGTTTATGGCTGCATATTCTCGGCACATACTAGGACTTGGGAAACACTTACTGAATCAACATAGAACCCGAAGTATACTGCTTGGCACATCATAAGCTCTTAATACATATTTTTTGTTGCTGCTGGTATATTATTCTGTCACTTATTTATTAATTCAGTCATTTAATCAATCGTCCATGAGAATCTACTGTGTGCTTGAACTCTTGAGACAGACACATCAGACACTGAGCTCACCATCCATGGGTGGGGAGGGGGGACAAGAGCAGCGCTGAGTGATAATAAATGAAGTCTTCTGGGTCATGTGACTTCACCCATAGATTTTTCCCATATTCTCTCCCAGACAATTTTCCTGCTTGTGCTGGTAGTCTGGGGCCCAGGTGGGCCATTGAAGAGCTCTCATGTCCTGTCCTGCTGGGGCCCTCAGCAATGGGGAACTAGGGTTTTGGGCAGCAGAGGTGCAGAACACAGAGCGCATTCTCCCACCCCCAAGTCCCCGAGAGCTTGTAGGTCACTGTGGACCCCAGTTCTGATGCCAGAGGACCAGGAACATATTCACCCCACAGACACCAAGCATGGGAGGAAGGAAGCAGGGGACTACCGGGTGTAGACACCTGCTTGTTTCAGGTGGCAAGGGTGGATGGGCACCTGTCGGCATGTGGAAGTCAAGGATGGGCGGAAGATGTCACCCCCCTGGCTGGAGTTGGGGGAAGGTTAGCACCACGCAGGGCAGCTTCACTCCTCGGAGGTGGGTGAGGTGGAAACTTGAAGCCCTGCATTTGGTGTGCCTTCTGCTCAGGGCAGGTGACGTTCTCAGGTTTGGGGTCACTTCCTCCTGCTTTATACCCTTCACAGCACCTATCACTCCCAGAAATGTTGGGTCTCATCACAATCCCCACTACCTGGATAAGGAAAGCAGCTCACAGAAGTCAAACAACCGCCCCCAAGTCACAAAGCGTAGTTCGAAGTGGCAGTGCTGGGACGGGACGAGACGCATCTAAATCACAGCACAACCCACTGTTGTTTGAATGGACTCCAACTCCTAGACACACTGCAGGGCAGGGGAGCGTCTCTAAGGCTGTGACTCTTTCCAGAAGCAGATGGCCTCACCTTTCTCCTGCAGAGCAACTGGTGGGTTTGAACCACTGACCTTGTGGTTAGCAGTCCAGTGCTTATACTGCAGGGCTCTCCTACCTGCCTCTAAAACCAAGCACCCTATCACGCCCCTAAATGGCATCTCGATAGGCCTAAGGGAGCACTGCTCCTACTGCATACTACAAGGTCCCTGAGTGGCACAGACTGTTAAGCACTTGACTATTAACTGAAAGGTGCCTGGAAAAAAGGCCTGGTGATCTGCTTCCGAAAGGTCACGACTAAGAAATCCCATGGAGCGGTTCTCCTCTACACACGCAGGCTCGCTGTGAGTTAAGAGTTGGCTGGACGGCTCCTTATTCCCAGCGCTGGGTTCTCGTGAGGGTTGGACAAGCCCTTTCACTTTCCCCTGCCTTTGGCTAGTTTTATTTCTTCATGGAGTATAACTTACATACAAAGTGTGCATTTAAATCCCTTTACATAGATACAAGACACCCAGCGAGATGGACTGGCAAAGTGGCAGCATCAATGGGCTCAACTGTGGCAACCACTGTGAGGTTGGCCCAGGATCGGGCAGTGTTTCGTTCTGTTGTGCATAGGGTCGCTATGAGTCGGTACCAACTCGATGGCACCTAACAACAACAACAAAACAGACACACACACACACACATCAGTCTGATTACCTCTCAGACATGTACAGAACAGAGGGGGTTGGCAAATTTTGCTCTGAAGGGCCAAATGATATTTTGGACTCTGTGGGCCAGTCTCTTGAAGCCATTCAACTCTGCTGAGATGAGTCTGGCTGGGTTCTGACCATACTTGGCCTATAGGTCTTTTTCATTCTTGTCCCTAGTATGCTGACCTCTGATATAGACTATTTCCAGCCTCCAGTAGGCTCCTTCATACACCCCAATCTTCCTCCCTACCCTGCTCTAGGGAATTAGTTACTGTTTCACTTTTTGTCACTGTACACTGCTTCGACTTCTTCAGGGACTTTATAAAGTTAGCTCTTTGGAGTCTGGCTCCGTGCTCTCAGCACGCTCCCAGAGTCATCTGTGGGGCTGACAACTACCAATAGCGGTCCCTTCGTTTTTACTGCCCAGTAGTATTCCACTGGAGCCATGGTGACGCAGCTGAGCAATGACTGGGCTGGTAACTCCAAAGTCATCAGTTCAAAACTACCAGCTGCTCTGTGGGAGAAAGATGAGGTGGTCTACTTCCATATAAATTTATAGTTTTGGAATTGAAAAGATTTATTCTACCGACAAGGTTGTGTGGCATGGTGGGTTAATGTGCTGGACTGCAAAGTTGATTTGAACCAAAGGTCGGCAGTTCAAGCTCACCAGATGCTTCCTGGAAACCCTATACAGCATTGGTATGCGTTAGAACCGACTTGACGGCATTTAACAACAACAGCAAAATAGGGTTGTTAGGAGTCCTAGCGTGGCACTGTAGGATAAGTGCTGGACTGCAAGGTTGGTTTGAAAGGCAAGGTTGGAGGTTCAAACCCACTAGTTGCTCCTTGGCAACCCTAGAGAGGGTCGCCATGAATTGGAACCAATGGCACGTATCACAAGTTAAGTTAATCTTTTTATGGTGTGATGAAATGGAACTTTACCTCTGAGATCTTCCTCTCCAAAACTTATAACCCCAGTTATATATAAAAACTTCAGACAAATTCCAGTAAAGGGGCATCCTACAAAATACGTGACCAGTACTCCTAAAAATCACCAAGGTCTACAAAACCAAGTCCAGTCTGAGAAACTGCCACAGCTAAAAGGAGCCTCAGGAGACAAGACAACTCGATGTAATGTGGCATCTTGGATGGGATCCTGGGACAGAAAAGGAACATTAGGTAAGAGCTAAGGAAATCTGAATAATGTACAAACTTCAAAACCCATCACCGCCGCCTAGCTGATTCCAGTTAGTTCATTTCACTGAGTGCTTAACCACTGTGCCACCACGTCTTCTTTAAAAGCTGGACTTTAGGTAATACTGTATCGGTGACCATTTATACAATATTACACTGTGTTTTGTTAAATGCCATTGAGTTGATTCCAACTCAGCAACCCTGTATAGGGTTTCTGAGGAGCTGCTGGTGAATTTGAACCTCTTGGTGTGGCGCTGTGGGTTAATGCACCACACTGAAAAGCCATTTGAACTGCAAGGTTGGTGGTTCAAGCTAACCAGCTACTCCTCGGAAACCCTAGACAGGATTTCTATAGGTCGGAACCGACTTGATGGCACTTCACAATGACCTTGCGGTTCAAACCGACCTTTTAGTCCAGTGCATTATCCCACAGCACCATGCTAGGGCTGTGGTTAGTAATAATGTATCAATGATCTTAATGCAATTTGTTACCTCAATTGTAACAAATGTACCACACTAATAAGATTTTAAAGTTGCCCTGATGGCGCAGTGGTTAAAGTGCTCCGTGGTGAGACAAAGAGCCAGCAGTTCAGATCCACCGGGCAGCCACTCAACAGGAGGAAGATGTAGCCATCTGCTTCTGTAAAGATTATAGCTTTGGGAATCCTATGGGTTATGTCTACTTTGTCCTATATTGCTGTTAAGTGTCATCAAGTCAGTTTTGACTCATAGCAACCCTGTAATAAGGTTTCCAAGGAGCAGCTGGTGGGTTTGAACTGCTGACTTTGTGGTTTGCAGTCCAGGTCTGACCCTATGGCTTTGTCCTATGTTGTTGTCCTATAGGGTCACTATAAATTGGAATCAACTTAATAG